CCTTCCCTGGTTAAAGCCTTCTAATGGCTTTCCACTGTATCATCCACCCAGTTGCTAACCCAGAAATCAACCCAGTCGTGTTCGCAAGTCCCATCATGCTGGCCCTACCGCACCGAGTTCTGGCTCTCCTTCTCTCCATAGCTACTAGCACTGCACCTTGGGGGAAGCCATCACTTCCTTTCTCCTGACAAAATGGAGGCTCAAGAGGCTATTCCAGACCCACGCACAAGAAAGGCATTGCTAATCTAAGTGGGAATCTTTGACCACCAAGCTCAAATACCTCAACACAACACTGCCATTATCTCCCAAAAGGATTTGGCACAATCATTGAAACCTACTTCCACCGTGCTAAGAAAAGACTATAAGTGGCACAAATTCTTCTGTCTAGTTTGTGAAACACCAGTGTTCCATTGGAGAATCATTTTAAAAACCACTGAAATAAAGGTTATATTTTGGAAACTAGTGAAAAAGGGAAGTGTGATTGTGTCTATCTTATTCACCACTCTACCTCACCCCTACAGCAGTGCCTCCCACATAGAAGGCGCTCAGTACAAGTTTTTCTACTGAGCTTTTAGCTATTTCTGAAATATTCCAAATGAAATATAACAAAATCGTATCTTGTCATTTCGACTAAATTACACTCCAAAAAAAACCCAAAAAAACCCTTATTATACTAGCAAGGCTTAATCTTACTTCCAAAACAAATACCACTGGGCAGAAACATTTTCAAATTAACCAGAGTGTATAATCCCACCCAGCTTCCACTGTGTAACTTCCTCTACACAGAGGTAGGCAGGTGCAAACACCAGCGCTAACGATCAAAAGGTGAGAAAGTTGAGTGTGGTTTAGCTTGTTTGTTTTTTTACAACGGCTGAGAAAAATGAGGGCAAATTTACCTTTAGGGGATTGTAATTCATCTACTATCTTCTTTAAAATAAAACCAGGAAATGACTGTATTACCTACTGATGGACACATGGTATGTGTATTTATGTAACAACTGGTCTGGAGAATATGTCAGTGGTTGCCTCCCCAGCACCCAGCCTGGGAACAAAGCTCCTGTGTACTGGTTGTGGGGAACCGTTGTTTCCTAAGTCACAGTTAACGGTTGGTTTGGAGGAGGGCACATGGGCCACACTGGACTAACCACATAATCTACATCAAACCCAAGTCACACTGAAACCGTTGTAGTGAAAAAATCCACCAAGTGTTGCAGTGGCCAAATCTCACTGCCATTGAGAAGTTGATCTGCACTGAGACAATAAAAGCAGTGCCAGAAGAATCCGAGGCACGAGATGAAAAATCTCAGAGCCATTTTTGTGGTTCCTGTACTTACTACAACCTGAACATTTACTTTTTCTAGAAGTCTACGAATTTCTACTTGGGGGTCAGTAATCCAAACTAGTTTCCTGTTTATAATTTTTAAAAATTTATATCATTAAAAAAAAATTTATATCATATTTTACTAATTCCAACTATTTCACAACCTCATCTATCCCAAACAGGAAAATCACTTACTTAGTTGTAATTATCAGTGAGTTGCAATTATCAGTAATCAGTTAAGTAGTATAATTATCATTACCCAAAAAGTCAAAATCATGTAAATGCTATGTCTACCAATTAATGGATGCATAAACAAAATGTGGGAAATCATCCAATGGAATAAAATCCTGACACATGCTACAATGTGAACGAAACTTTAAAACATTAAATGCAGAAAAAACAACCTTGCTGCCATCAGGTTAATTCTGAGTCACAGCAACCCTACAGCACACAGTATAACTAACTGCCCCTGTGAAAAGGGTTTCTGAAGCTATAAGTCTTTGCTGGTGCAGACAGCCTCATCCTTTTCCCGTGAAGCGTTTGTGGGTTCAAAGTGCTAACCTGGGGGCTAGCAGCCCAATGTACAACCCACTGTCGCAAGGGTTCCTTCTTTAAAACATTAGATAAAGTGAAAAGAGCCAAATTATCAAAGGCTACCCGATATTTGATTCCATTTATATGAAATGTGCAAAACAGGCAAATCCATAGAGACAGAAAGTAGGTTAGTGGTTGCCAAAGGCTAGGAGGTAAAAAGTGGAATGAGGGGTGAATGGGACATGACTGTTAACAGGTAGGACGTTTGGAGGGAGGAGGGGTAATAAAAATGTTTTACAATTATAGAGTAGCAATGATTCCATGACTGAATATAGTCTGTTCACTTTTAAAGGGTAAATTTTATCTCGACTGAAAAAAACGTGAATGGGCGGGGGGGAAGCCTCTAAAGCTACAAGAAAGTACAGATCAAAGATCACACCCCAAAGTCCGTATGTATTACCCTGCCAAAAAACCTACCCTGTGGTCTCTTAGTCTCTCTTTACACATGATTGTATAAACCTGGTAGTATGGGTTCCAACTGTAGCTGATTAAGAGCTTCAAATAGAAAAAAACAAATAAATAAATGAGCTTCAAATAGGGAGAACAAGAGCCCTGGGTGCCACACACAGTTAAGTGCTCAACTAGTAAGCGCAACCAGAGGTGCTTCAGAAGTTTCCTCCCTGTCTCTCTGTTTTTACTGAAACCCCTAAGCCTGGAAAACCCTATGGAGCAGAGGCAAAAATCAATCTGACTGCAACTAGATTTTTTTTAATAGGTGCCATTTTTAATTATTTTTAAAATAAGGGAATAAAATTGGTATAGACAAGAATACTGACAGTACAGTAGGAAAAAAAGCAAAATAAATTGTAAGCACAGCCCAAAGGCATTTACTATAAAATTTTATGCTGTGGTGCCCATGATTTTTTTCCCCTACCATTCTGTGGTGCCCAGGATTGCTTTTATATGACTTTTCTCATCAGTTGTAATTCCAAATGCTTGGGTGGGAATATGCAATCAAGGAGTTGATAGCCACCAAGGGGATTGGACTGCTTGTTAATAATGCAGATAAGTACATGGTACTCTCACGGGAGTGGATCAGGAAATTAAGGTAGATGAAACCATAATGAGGTGACTGGTGTGTTTTTCCATCTCACTAAGCTTAAAACAGAGGTGAAAGAGAATGCCTCACTACCACTAGGAAAGAAAAACCAGGAGTGGAGTGTGTGACCGTTGGGCCCTGAGGTCCCTGCACTGAAAACTTCTGAGACACAAGAGGCACAGAGTGCTTGAACACTGCAGACAGCAGGAAGCAATGGCAGAGAAATGGTGGAAGCAGGAGACAGGCTGGCCGACCCCGTAGGAGAGCAAGAGTGTCTTTGGGTAGGAGGCTTACTGGAGGAGTGGACGGCCTTAGGGTCTATCCATATGGCTAAAAGCTTTGTGACACTTGCCTGAGCAGAGGCCAAGCTAGCGCAAGAGACCGAAAGAGGCCTAAGAGGTCAAGTGCCTGTGAGTATGGCCCAAAAAAGCTGTCTGACTAAGACTGTATCCTGCATCATTCCTGATTCTGAAATGTGACCTGTTACTTTCCTAATACACCCAATACCCATGAATATGGTCTGTGCATCCATATAATCAATTATAGACCACTGCCGAGAAGTAAAGTAGCGAGCAAGAGCCAGCTGGGGTGAGAATTGGGGAAAGGTTCAAGGGTGGAGGTAGGTCTGACTTCCACCTCACAGCACCAAACGTGGACTGGACGTTAATGCTGCCAGCGGTATTCTCTTCCCACGGGAAGTTATAGGTCTGATGCCCCTAGCCTACCAAACCATTCTTACACAAGCCCTGCCCCACGGCCAGGAGGTATTTTTTTAAAACCCGCTATGCTTATTTTTTTTTTAATTAAAAAAAAAAGCATAGTGCACTTACAGAAATGCCACACTGGTAGAAGGGTTCGGTAGGCCAAAAAAACCCCAAGAAACACACATTCTTTTAAGTTAAAATACAGTCGGTAAGAACAAAATGGTATATTTATTGGATCCTGATATATCATAGACATTATTTGTGCCTACAGTATTAACAATAAGATAGCAAAAGCCAATCTACTTTTTTCACGGTGCCAAGCAGCGCTCCTTTAAGACCTGAACATCACTCCCAGCAACCCCACAGAGACCGTGTCATGACGGGTGCTATGGAGTCCACTTGCCCCGGCAGTGGCACTCTGAGAACTCGCCCGTACAGCTTCCTAGGCTGTCATCTTGGCGAAGCAAATCACCATGGCACTCCTTAAAAGAAGCATGACTATAGCTTGATTTTATTGATGGGGAAAGTGAGGGCTCTCAGTTAACTAAGTGGCAACATTAAGATTCAAGGCTGGGCAATTGATCTCAGAGTCCATCCTCGGATCTAATACTCTTAACTACAGCCCAACTCAACCAAACCAGTTGCCATAAGCCCACCCTGCCTCCACACACACCTCGGGGTGTGTGCAAGGAGAGCTGTGTGCCAGAGGGCTTTCGTCGGCCAGGCAGCCATCTTTCAGAAGAAGCTCCCCTTACATTATATTGCCTTTCTCAAGGGCGAGGCACCGGTCATGAAGAACAGCTACACTTTGTTCACTATGCTCCAACAACACAGGGAACATCTCTATTTTATTTCACTATAAAAAACATTCTTGGGTTGTGGGGGAGGGAAATTAAAAAAAAAAAAAATTCTTAAAAAACAACAACCACCTGTTCAATGCTAGCTATTATCCCATACTTAAAATTTACCTAACCTGCTTCAGCTTCTGGCAAGATCTGATGTCTTCTTTACTCCCAAGCTCAGATGTACCTTAGCCTTCTAGCCTGCCTTCTTCCAAACTCACCGACCGACACTGTCACAATCTTGGAGGTCTCTAAAGACTGCTCCAACCCAGCTCCATGACTTCAAGTAACAGGCTGTTGTTTAAAGGCAATTCAATCTAGTCATGCTAGGGATGGCCCAATGAGTTCCAAGACAACCCTTTTATATAAAACACACCTTTAAGTCAAATGTCATCTTTTTATTTTTAGCATAAAACTAAAACAAACTAAACTACTTCTACGCATTATCCATTCAGGCAGTCACAGACCTGAATTAATATTTGTGTAGTGTTCTCCATTACCTAGGCTGAGAATTCTCCTCATACATTCTTTCTTTCCCCTCCTTGAAGAGGCTTATGGTCTGCTTAGTTTTCTTCATCAAATTCTCCATGAACACCCTAAAATACTCATTTTCGCCAAGTGTTTCCATCTTCCCCTCATATCTTGACAAGATAGTGCGGAGATGCTGGTAGGTATCTGGCAGCAGGTCTAAGATATAAGGTGGGCTATTCTTTAGCGCCAGCTTTGGGTTCTGACACAACCGCACCACCTGCAACAAATGGAAAAAAAGGGCTATTACTTGGAGGATCGTAAGGACAATTTCCCTTTTTTAAGTTAGGAGAAAAAATTGGTTATGAAGTAGATGCTCTTTTGCAGAAATAGATAAAATAAGAAATCATGTATAGACCCCATTGTCCGCAGGCAATCATTTTGCAATTTTGTTGGCTCCCCCTGAAAGTGTAAGTCCATGAAATCCTGCTGGAGCGTGACATCGCAGGAGACAGTGGGGCAGGACGCTCCAGAAATCAGTCCCTCACCCAAACAGCTGATAAACTAGCAGGAATGAGCTGAGTCAACTATTTTTGAACTCTGGTGGACCGTGAAACACTTGTAACAACCAGAGGAGAGCCTGGAGAAGAGGCTGGTGAATTTTAGAAAAACTGACCTCTTACACAGGGGTCTATGGCATGGCCCCTGGCCCACAGCACGCAGTCACAGGGCCTTCAGCCTGTGTTCTTGGTGAAGCACGGTGGTGGCAGAGTGAGCAATAAGGAACTCCTTTCTCAAAAACCAGGATTGTGTATTTTGGTTGCTAATCACTGCTTTCAATTGTTGAGGGGCTACTCTGAGGCTGGCCATTTTTCAATCCCCAGGGACTAAAATGGCTTCCTAGGTGGCCTCTGTTGAGGGGATTTAAAGAGACAATGTCGAATGATTAGAATAAAGTGTTCTTATGTTGAGGGAGTACTTGAGCCGAGGTCCAATGTCCATCTGCTACCTTAATTCTTAACATATAGATATAAGTACATCGATCTATTTCCCTCTCGTTATATAGAAATACATTTACATATGTACATGCCTGTATTTAGACCTCTATAAATGTTCTTTGCCTCCTGGTTCTTTCCCCTATTTCTGGCATTCTGTGATGCTCACCTTTCCA